CAGCCTGTCCTGTTACGTTCAAGGAGGCCATTTGCGAACTCTCTGATAGTCCTGTCATGGCCAAAAGGGTTGGTCTCGTATTTTCTGTTTGCCCTGCAATGAGCAGGGAGGTCGTTTATGAACTCTCTGACTGTCCGGTCACAGAGACCATCTGTGAATCCCCTGACTGTTCAGCCATGGCCTTGGAGGCCGCCTGTGAACTCTCTGCTCGCCTTACTACGGACTATGATGCTGTCTCAGAGTTGCTTGCCTGTCCTGTTATGGCCACTGAGGCCACCGTTAACATCTCTTTATTTTGTGTTGCAATTTTACCTGATCTATCATGGTGGTCCCCTGCTCTGTCCTGGTGGTCTTCAGCTCCACTCTGGTGGTCTTCAACTCCACCTACTCCGCCATGGTGGTCTTCAGTTCTCCTCTGGTTGTCTTCAGATCTGCCTGCTCCGCCCTGGTGGGCTTCAGCTCCGCTCTGGTGGTTTTCAGCTCTGCCCTGGTGGTCTTCTGCTCCACCATGGTGGTCCTCTGCTCTGCCTGCTCCGCCCTGGTGCTCTTCAGCTACGCCTGCTCCTCTATGGTGCTCTTCAGCTCCGCCTGCTCCGCCATGGCGCTATTTAGCTCCGCCTGCTCCGCCATGGCGCTATTTAGCTCCGCCTGCTCCACCCTGGTGCTATTCAGCTCCGCCTCTGCCCCCTCCATCCCTCCCCCTGTCCTGCCTCCGCTCCACCTCCCTCCACTGTTAAGGAGCGTCTGTAAGCCGCTCCTTGGGGGGAGGGGCGTGGTCATGATCTCTAGCTGGAGTGACCACGAGCTCTACTAGAGGGCACCCCATCCCGTACACTTTACCATTCACCCCGGACTCCATTTCCCATAATCCTTTGCTTGGACTCATCAGAGCTTATCATCAGTTCACACATGTCTCTTATTAGGAGGACTATAAGAATTGCACATACACATACTCTGCTGGTGATTGTTTAGCCCCTCTGTGTTTTCGAGTTTCAGTGATTCTTAGTTTTCTAGATTCCCTGTTTCCTTGCCTTAGTATTTTGATCCTTGGACTGTTTCCTTGTTTATGATTGTTTGCTGCCTCCCCTGACCATTGCCTGTCTTGTGGATCACTCTTTTGTCTTTGCCCTGGATGTGATTGTTTGCTGGTGTTTGACCCTGCCTGTTCTGACTACGCTCTATGGAATAAAGCCTTTCTTTTGGATCCCCACTTCGTTGTCACACCTCCCTCGTTAGAACAATATATAGAGAAAAGGTATGCCAAAATTCAAAAATCTTTTGAAGATATTGCTGAGCATTTATTTTACCATATTAAAAGTAAATTTCTGGCTTAAGTAAATTTTTCATCTCCGGTTTTAGTATTCATTTTAAAGGGGTCATATGACGTTGCTAAAAAGAACATTATGTTGTGTATTTGGTGTAATGCAATGTGTTTATGCGGTTTAAGGTTCAAAAAACACATTATTTTCCACATAATGTACATTATTGTTGCTCCTCTATGCCCCGCCTTTCTGAAACGTGTCGATTTTTACAAAGATCATCGTTCTGAAAAGCGAGGTGTAAGCTGATTGGCCAGCTATTCAGTGCGTTGTGATTGGCTGAATACCTCAAGCATGTGACGGAAATGTTACGCCCCTTACCATACTGTGATGCTGTGTCCCGGCGCAATGAGACCAATAAAACCCATTACAAACTAGGCATTTGTTGCATCCAGTGGGGACATAATTAC